GATGACCGCAGGGCTGCTGCTGCGCGCTCCTGCCTCTCGCCCGCCGCTGCCCCCGCCGCCGCCGTTGCCCGAGGCCGGGGCGCTTGCTATGTCCGCAGCCTCCGACAAGCCCCAGCCGCCGCCACCGCTCGGACCAGCCGCCGCCGCCGCCATGGAGGCCGCCTCGTCCACCAGCTCCTCGACGCCCAGCAGCGGCGGCGGTGGCGGCGGCGGCGGCGGCGCCAAGACCAAGAAGAGCAACGCGGGCATCCGCCGCCCGGAGAAGCCGCCCTACTCCTACATCGCGCTGATCGTGATGGCCATCCAGAGCTCGCCCTCCAAGCGGCTGACCCTGAGCGAGATCTACCAGTTCCTGCAGGCGCGCTTCCCCTTCTTCCGCGGCTCCTACCAGGGCTGGAAGAACTCGGTGCGCCACAACCTCTCGCTCAACGAGTGCTTCATCAAGCTGCCCAAAGGGCTGGGCCGGCCGGGCAAGGGCCACTACTGGACCATCGACCCGGCCAGCGAGTTCATGTTCGAGGAGGGCTCCTTCCGACGGCGGCCCCGCGGCTTCAGGAGGAAGTGCCAGGCCTTGAAGCCCATGTACAGCATGATGAACCTGAATTTCAACCACCTCCCCGACAGCTACGGCTTCCAGGGGCCCTCCTGCCCGCCCAGCAGCCTGCCCTTGGACGGGGGCGCCCTGGGCATGGTCAACGTGGACGGCATGGCCCTGGCCGGCCACTCCGTGCCCCACTTGCCCTCCAACGGCGGCCACCCCCACGCCTACATGGGCAGCTGCAGCGGCGGAGGGGCCGGGCCCGGCTCGGCGGGAGGGGACTACGGCCACCACGACGGCTCGGTGCCCGCTTCCCCGCTGCTGCCCGGCGGAGGGGTGATGGAGCCCCACTCGGTTTACTCCGGCACGGGGCCCGCGGCTTGGGCGCCCTCGCCCGCCCCCGGCTTGAACGGCGGCGCCCCCTACATCAAGCAGCAGCCCCTCTCGCCTTGCAACCCGGCGGGGAACCCGCTCTCGTCCGGCCTTTCCACGCACTCCTTGGACCAGCCCTATCTGCACCAGAACAGCCACAACCCCGCCGAACTGCAAGGTAAGCATCCGGGACGGGCGTCGGGGGGGGGGGGGCTCCGGACCGGATTTATTCCTTAGGATCCGAACTAAGAGCGGCTGCCCGGATCTTGCTGCTTTTCCACGCAGAGGCATGCTCAGAATCTTTCTTTCTTTCTTTCTTTCTTTCTTTCTTTCTTTCTTTCTTTCTTTCTTTCTTTCTTTCTTTCTTCCTTCCTTCCTTCCTTCCTTCCTTCCTTCCTTGAGACGGGCGGGCGGGCCCGAACTTTTTTTTTTGGGGGGGGGGGGAAGCGGGTACAAGGCTCCAGGAAAGTTGGAAGCCAGCGGCCCGAAGAGCGACCGTTTTCATCGCCGAGCTGAAGGCAAAGCGAGTCGGGAGGTCTGGCGAACGGGCGGCTTTGAGAAGGTGGGAGAAAGAAAAAGAGACGGGACGCGGGTGGTCGTGCGAGGAGTCTCGCAGGCCCGAGCTGGGGGGGGGGGAGGCGAGGCTAGGAAGGCGAGAACCGCTCCGAGCAATTCCGGGTTGTGCCTCTCTTAGGGAATAGCTCTGGCCGCGGGACAAGCTTAATTACTGCTGGCGCGGATCCCTTCCCTGCCTTTCCCCAGCCGTGGGCCAAAGAGGTTGCCGTCTCTTCCTCGTGGGGAGGGAAGGGGAGGGGGGTTACCCCCTACAAAAAAGTGGCAAGTGAGGCCTCCGCGAGAGGGTGACGGGGGGGGGGTGGGGGGCTTCCTAGAAGGACACCTTGTCTCGGGGGGGCCTAATGAAAAAGCGACTCTTTAGAAACGAAGCTGAAGGGGAGAAGAAAGAGGGTCGCCGGGGGGGGGAAGGGGAAATCGGCGGGGTGGTCTTCAGTCAGCTGAGGTGCGGGTCAGTCCGGCGGCGCCAGGAAGGGAAGGGCTCTCAGCTCCCTGCCTGCAGCGTCCTGAATTCCCCGGCTTTCCCAAAATTGCTCAATTAATGCTGTTTTTCTCTCGAAGAAATCCGGCACCGAATGCAAAGGGAGACCCGAAACACGAGAATCCGCGGCAGCAAAGCGCAAATATGTAGGATAGGAATCCCTTTTGCCCCCCACTCACCCACTCGTTAGCCTTAGAACTGACCCGCTTCCCTCCCCTTTAAGGGGCTAAAATCTAGGGAGATGGAGATGGAGAAGGATTTAGCCGCCGCTTGCTCCGTCCTGGCAACTGGGGTTCGCTGCAATATTTCTTAGAAACCGTAAATACGGGAGGGTAATTGTGTGTGGGGTCCTGGTAGGAAGAAAAAAAGACTGAAATCCCAACACGCTTCCATTTGGTTTTAATATTTTCTAGAGCCCAAATTTTATGCAAATGTAATTTGGACAGAAATGATTATTTTGATTCGTCCCACAGTCAGCCAGATGTTTAGACTGGATTTATCCACCTATCCTGTATCTAGCGTTATTATGATTATGGGTGGCATGTTGTTATTATTATTATTATTATTATTATTATTATTATTATTATTATTATTATTATTATTATTATTATTATTATTATTATTATTATTATTATCTTCAATTCGATCCACAGTTTGGGACGACTGGTAAAAACTTAACAGCTGAAGTTCTAATCAAAAGACCAAAGAGCTATTAAGGTTGCGTCTGAGTATATAGGCAATTCTGAGTAGGGTAGGTTTTGTTTTTTTTTGCAAAGTCAGAATATTCAGGTGTGATAAGTTCAAAATTTCCATATCTCTAAGGGCTCCTATTACTGATGATACTATTATTATTGTTACTTTTATTATTAAAGATTTAATCAATTCGATTCACAGCCTGGGACAGGTAAAAACTTAACAGTTCAAGTCCTAATCAAGGACCTAAGAGCTGCTGTTGTTATTGTTGTTATTATTATTATTATCCACCTATCTAGTTTGATTATTATGGCTGGCATTTTTATGCATCTATTGAGCATTATTATTATTATGGTTGGTTGCAGTCAGCCAGATGTTTATTATTATGATTATTATCCCAGATCAATCCACTGCAAAATGAAGGCCCTGGGGATGAATAATTGAGAATTCATTCTTTCCCCTTCATTATCTTGTTTTGATGGTCAAATAAACAAGAACAGTTTTAAAACGTGAAAATAAGTTCCTTTAGAAATAGGATTGGAACTTATATTTTAACTCTCCTTAAAGTTTTGGAAAGACAACAAATTTTAGCAATCACTATCCCAGATACTAAGAAAGCATGATTAACTTTCTTGTTTCTGCTTAAATTGGTGATCTATCTTCTTATGCTGATTTTATCTATTAGGAGGTTATTGATGGAGGAAAGATTCTGTAGGTACAAAATGACACTGTAAATCCATTTTATTTTATTTTATTTTATTATCATTTCCCTATCATGCTTCATAATTTTGTGTGAGACATACACGCACACTTTGCTGGGAATATGTGACGTTGCATTTTCCCAATACAATGAACCTACTTGCAGGATTAACTTGTTTTCTGGATTCACACAACACAGAAAGCTCCCCAGAACAAAACCAAAATAACCTATTGGAGGTCAGCAAAACGTATTATGTCATCTGAATGCAGCTGAGCAAAGTTGGGACGCCTGGAATAGGCCCCCTTTTTCAGCTGGCAATCAGAGCTTTGGGGGGGGGGTGCCATTCCGCTTTGGGCACCTATTTTAAAAGCTTCAGGAACATCAAAACTCTTCGTTTTGTCGCCAGCCGTTTTCTTGACTTGCAGAGCAAAATGGCATTAACCGTAGGAATAATATTCCTCTCCTCACAAAGTCACAATTAAGGCTGACCGAGCCTATCGACAAAGGTGCCGATCTTCTCTGCTTACCGATCCGCTAAAATGAACTTTTCCGACCCGCCTATTTAATTTTCCTCCTCGTGAAATCGAGCTGAGATTTTTACAAACGCGCGCGCGCCGTTAAATGCGTGGCGTTCACAGACAAAATAATAAAAATAAAATAAAAAATAAAATCAAGTCCTTTCTAGCTGGTGATCATTTTTAGAGCCGCTTTGAAAAACAGCTGTAGAAATCGGCTATTTCAGCGGGGGTCTCTCCTGAGACAGGTCCGCGCTGAGAAATCTGGAGCCTCTTTTGATCTCTCTTGGGTAGACAGAAACGTCTCGCTTTCCTCCTGACAATTTTGTTTGTTGGCCGGGGGTGCGGTGGGAGTTGTGACTTTTTCCTTGCTTTCCAACTGAAGCATCGTCAGACCCTCCTTATCCTCCACTCTGATTGAATCAGGATTAATCAGCCCCCTGTGTTCCTGCAAATTTGGCTGGTTCCAGAAAGGATGGAGATCAAGAGTGGGTGGGTGGGGGGGCTTCCTACTATTACGGGTGTGGGGAAAAAATTCACTCAATTTCTGAGCAGAGAGACACCGGGAACTTCACAAGGTCCAAGAATTGGTGGGCGAGTGAAGATCAGAGCCCTTTTCCAAGAAAGAAAGTGAAATGCGTTCTTTTCCATCTCTGGGTGGGGAGAGATAACCCAGGTAAGACCTCAATGCAGCTCAAGTGGTGAGAAGGGCGCTTTGAAACTGACCAGGCCTTCCAGCGCGAAACTGACAAGCGTTTGGGGAAAAGCCGAGAGGCCTAGAAAGGCGCGGAGCCTGGCGTGCGTGGTTTTGATTCCCAATCCCCTTTCAATTCCTCGTGGGTGGGGTAGCCCAACACACACATCCCGAAGACAAGGGGGCATCCAAAACTCGCCTCGCCCGCCTGGAACACGCTTTGCGCATCTCTTTGGAATCGCGGCCGGACGCGGGTGGGAGAAGTGCGCAAAGTCGAAAGGAAATGTTTTGCGACTGGGGCCCGCAACGGCCGCCTAGGGGAGCGCTGGGTGCGCAAAGAGGGTTCCCCCCCTCCCCCAGCAGGCGCAGGATCCTCCGCTTCTTAAATCGGACCTCGGATTTAAGGCAGGGAGAACCCAGCGCGTTGCATGCGCGTCCCAACGTTGCGCGGAATCTTGCCTTGCCGAAGCCACAACCCGGCGCGAATGGATCTCCAACTCCGTCGGGCTGGTTTACCCAGTTGGAAGAAATGGGCAATTACGAAATTATAAATTGGAAAGTGTGGGTAGATTGCGCAAGAGGGGGGGGGTACAACAAGATCCAGAACAAATGGGGCTACCCGGTGGCTACTGCTCTCTGCTTTTGTGGTGACCTGCAGACAACAACACATATGGATACCTGCACGCTTGAGGATCTCGTGGCAGCCACAGAATGCTGCTAGTTTCTGGGCATGATCAGTTTAATTTGTGCGCAGTTGGTTTTTTTTACATTTTGTTTTTTTTAACATTTTCAATTTTATGCTGTATAGTACCCCTTATTTTAACTGCGACGTTTCTGACATGAAACCAGCCAACCAACAAACCCGGGTGGGAAGGGAGAAACGCCTTAATGAGGGATGGAAGAAGTTAAAAATCACGTCCCAGTGTTACTGAAAGGCAATTATTCCAGGTAGCCCCGTCTGCTCTCCTGTCTGCCCGTCAGGATGAAGGTGTGGTGGGTCTTTGCGCGCCCTTAAGTGGAGCGATCTGTTAATCCCGCCAATCTTCGGATTTTGTCCAGGCTATTAACAAAAGGACACCAATCAAGCAGAATGGCTTAAAGGGGGGAAAATTGAGGAAGGAAAGAAAGAGAAACTTTAAAATAATAATATTTTTTTGGAAGAAATGACCGCCAGCACGACAATTTCTTAAGGCTTCGGCTTCTCTCCGCCATCTTAGTAATGTATTGGCCAGGATACTCTAAAGAGGTGTGAAAGGAAACTGGAGTTTGATTTTTTTTTTTAATCCACTTTGGGCATCTTGGAAATGTCAAAGAGATAGAATAAATGTGGGTGCGTGTAACATTTCCACTTACCAAATTAAAAAAAAATCAGAAAAAAAAAACCAATAGCACCTTTTCCGACTAATGCAATTTTCTAGTTTGGAAAAAGCTCTACTAGATTCTACAATGATTTTTTTTTTTAAGAAAATGGAGAAACTCTTTTCCAAAGAGAAATAGGAATGGGTGCAAAAAACTACTATTACTACTTTTAAAAAAGCACTTTGGCAGTAATGTGTGATTAGGCATAGTTTTACCTTATCAAATAACTCTAAAAAGCAAATAAATAAACCCAGTTAAAGCTCTGCTACTCTCTCAGAGACTCCCTCTGAAGCCGGCTGCATACTGGCTCAATCCTATGACGCACCCTACAAAGTGCTACCTTGAAATATTATTTAAAATAATTTAATTTGTCAAGTTTCTGGCTCGCATGCCTCAATTCTTTTGGCAGGCAGGCAGACCTGGAGGTGCTTCTTTAGTTAAAACAAGAAAGGATTTGTTTCTTTGGAAAGGGCAAGGTGTAGGACGGGAAATGAGCAGGCCCACCTTGTACATGTCTACTTAGAAAGAAGCCCCACTAAATTGGGGGGGGGGGGAACAAACTCCCTGATAAATTAATATCTCATTCCTCCTTGAACATGAAAAATAGTCTAGAAAAAGTTCCGAGTGGGAAGAGTTACTTGGAACACCAATGTTCCAGCTTGATTTCTACTTGGATTTAAATGTTTCCAAAAACTGCCAACAGCTGCAGATCTGTAAACAACTGGGCTAGAAATTATTTTATGGCTTACGCTGATTTTGCAGCCTCAACCAT